CAAACAAACAAACAAACAATACTATTGTTCGTAATAATTATAAAAAAATGTTAACATTATTTTGAATTGTATATTATACCACATTTTAGTTTGAAAAACATAAGTGAGAAGTGAAACGTCTCAACAATTGTGGAACATGTGTAATATATAATATACATAAATTAGAAATGATAAACAAAGGGATTATAGTAAGATACTCGTGAAGAAAAAAATGTTCTAGAGAATAAATTGAAAAAAAAAATGCCACCTTACAAGAAACTATGGAATATATATTTTAAATAATGTGTCCAAAGTTTGTTTTTATCCCTTAAGGCGCGGTAATATCAAGCTCAAGGGCCACTATTTAATATTTTACCCATGTTGACCTACCCATAATATTCTACTTCGTTTTGAATTTCTCCTACTTATTTATGAAAAGGATAAACCAAAGCAAGTATAAGTGAAATATGGATTAAGCTTACTTTTCTGTTAATATATGGGTACTAATTAATAAACACCAGCTCTCTAACGCATATTCATTAGCTCCTTGTGTTTGGAAATCTACCTTTTCTCACTAGTTATCTTCCTTTATAAAGCTGCTTTTGTCACTTTCTTTCAATTTACCAGTTTTAAATCTGTCACATTCTCGCCTCCTTAGTTAATTCGTTTTTGTTGTTTCTAACTTATCTTGCTCTGTCATGGTTTACTAGTTTATTTATTTACCTTTTTCTCGTCAAGTATCTTTCTTTTTACTATTTTTTTGCTACTTATGTTATAATTGCTATTTTCACTTCTGATTGCTTGATAAGACAATATTGTTTACTTTATATAACACTACTCTCATTCTTTCTGTCTCATTATCTGTTCACAAATCTGTTACTCTCTTACTATCTACATACCTGCTTGAAAATCTCTTTCATTATGTAGTTTATTATTTGTTTGTAAATGTATCCAAATCCTTGTACTTATTTTTATTGAACTTAATATATATTTCTTACGCACTTCATTTATTTAACTTAAACCATGCTCTCTTGATAACTGTTAACTGTTCTTTCGTTATTTCAAAAAATAAAATTATATATATATATATATGCGTGCATTCTTTTTCTTTTTCTTCACACTATCTACTTAAAAAATGCTTCTCTCACTCCCAGCTTGTCTAAAATTTATATCTCTATCTTCCTTTATATTTCTCACAATGAGATCTGACTATCAGCTGTTTGTTTTCCATCTTATATTATATAATTTCAAACCTTATATGCACTGATTGTCCACTTTATTTGATCACTCGTCTATTATCTAATTGAGCCCCCCTTTCGCCCTTGGATTTGGTATAGCACAAATTAAGCAAATACCAGAAAGTGTCCTGTTCGTTAGTAATTCAGTTTTCGAGAAGAATGCCATTGTTGATAAACTCTTGAGTTGTTTGTGAATAACTTGTCAAATATATGGACTTTGATAACTACGTCTCTGTTAAATGAGCACACGATGGCATGTCCTTTTGACTACACTTCTGCATTTATAAGGCTTAATCAACCACCTGAAACATTTAATAAAACAAAATTCACAGTGTCATTTGTTCCATTATGTGCTTGCCACTTTGTTCCTTGTTTTTCCTATTGTTTGGGTTGTATGTTTCACACAGTGTCTCTAGATCTACGTTACATTAATTTTTGTCCACCCTATTTGTACGTTACACTAACTCTTGTCCACCCTATGTGCACTTTACTAACCCTTGATCATGTTATGTGTGCGTTACACTAACTCTTGTCCACCCTATGTGTACATTACACTAACTTTTGTCCACCCTAAATGCACGTCACACTAACTCTTGTTCTTTCTATGTGCACGTTACACTAACTCTTGTTCTTCCTATGTGCACATTACACTAACTCTTGTTCACCCTGTGTGCACGTTACACTGGCATACATTTACATCATGTGTCTATTACATTGGCTTACATTCACCTCATGTGCCTATTACACTGGCTTGCGTTCATTCCATGCGTCTGTTACAGTGACAATTGTCCGCTTTTGTATTTCTCGCTCTGACTCTTGTTTTGTGCATAAGAACTTGTTTCTTCATTTCATTATATGCTTATGTTTCTGTATGTACTTTTCTTTATAATTTGTATTTGTTCGTTTACTGTGTGCATTTATTTATAAGATATTTGGTTTCACATCCAGCTCTATCTTTAATGTTCTTTACACACCAGCCAGTATAAATAGAGATTTAAAATAATTCCTGGGATTTCCTTAACTAACACTTATTTTGATCGTCGATTTCACTGCTTAAACATAATGTTTTCTGGCATGTAATGGTGCTTCATAAAGAAGTGCACGTGCACTCTTAGTGCTTCTTTTTTCATTAATTAGAACTGAAAGTTATATGTATGACCCACAAAATTTAATACCCAGGAGCAAACAGGAATTTAAGTAGACACATTGACTAATTTGAATATGTACACAGATATCCGTTGTTTTCCTTTTTGTAATGTGAACTAAACTTCTCCTATTACAGGACTACACTATGGATATATACCTGCGACAGATATGGTATGACCACAGACTTAATCTGGAGTATTATAATATTAATGAAACCGTAACATTGAATGGAGCTAACCTTATTGGACGACTTTGGAAACCTGACATATTTTTCTACAATGTAAAGGATGCCAGTTTCCACATTGTCACAGTTCCAAATGCCATGGTAATGATATCAGGCGAAGGGCGTATTTTATATAGTTTGAGGTAAGCATTTTTTTAAAAATTTTAATACAACATTTTAAACTATAAGATATAAAGTATGAAAAAGCAAGTCGTAGCAGGCCTGTAAAAGTCGATAACATAATGCTCTCTATTTTTCCAACATCAAAGCAAATCGTCGACCATTTCAATCAATCTATGAATGGCTACTGCGTCACTATTAAGTATATTTTCATTCCAAGTTATTTTATGATAGCCATCATCTTATACGAAACAAAACCTTAACCCCCTAAGGCCATTCTAAAATGAAACAAGAACTTCAAACAGTAAAGCCGGTAGAGATTTGACAATATTAAACTTGACTATGTTAAAGGTATTTAACCTGGAAGATTGAAAAGTATTCATAAGAGGATCTGTTTTTTATTTAAAAGCATGAGGTTTATAACATTAAGTTAATTCCTCAAAACAACATCGAGTACCTTTCTTAGTCAGTTTCGTTCGCTTTTAAAGATTGTATATAGTATAGCAAACTCTTTTAAATTCAACTGGTGTTGTGCCTTTATATATTGTAAAGCTTTCACATTTACCGGAAATAACTGAAATTTATAACTTTCCCTAAAACTGATGGAAACTCGACATGAAGAATAAAATTTCTTAGTTTTCAGCCGTGAAAGAAATTCTAATAGCAAAATGTGGTTCGTGAGATGACGTTCTAAAACATTTGTTAAAATAGAAATACCGATAAAATAGTTTAAAACTGGGTATAAACGTGAGTTAGCTTTATTTAATGTTTAAAGTCTGGAGTAGAAAGGCAGGCGAAAGGTTATTAAAATTGTGTTCTAGTCTGGCATGAGAAAGTCATTCGCGCCACAAGCCGTTTCTGATGTTCATACTACTGTTTTTCAGTTTGGCAAAGAAGAAAATCATACATTAAAAACAGGCATTTTTTCAACGAAAATATCTCTGAGATTAAGACAAACTAACAAAACAAATTAACTGTTTTTAGCATAGAGCTACACAATGGGCTGTCTGCGTTATGTCCATCGCGGGGAACTAAACCCAAGTTTTGGGGTTATAAGTTTTCAAGCTTAATCATCACGGAATTGTCATATAAAGTGAATTTATTAAAGACATATTAAGGTAATGACTTAAATTTGAATCTTTTGAAGTCCACTTTTAACTTTAATAGCATATATTCTTCTTACATAAAGTTTCTAAAATTGTGTCAGAAATATGCGACATTATTTGTATTGACATAAAATTATTTTGATATTAAAAGTTAGATTTGCATTGAAAAAATGTTCAAGATTTTATGTTTGGCAATGACATGCATGTTCGTGTATTACACAAGTGCTCAATTCTATAATTAAATATATATCCTTTTATCTCCTTGTACTGAAAAATCTTGCAAAATTATTTTATCTTTTTTACTGTGTTACGCTTTCTATGTCAAATTTTATAAAGCATGATATTTTGTTACTCACATAATAAAATAATTAAAACACTTTTATTTGTTAAATATACTAGTAATAAAAATTAATATGACTTGTTTCCTACTTACATTAAGATAATTTGAACTAGTTTGTTATTTGTACTTATATGACAGTTAGTTTAAATTGTGGTTATCTTTCGGTTACATTGAACTAAAACTCGGATTACATTTATTACAGTGGTTCCTAAGCTATATTCCGCGAAACCCCAGGTTTCCAAGGAACAAAATCATATAAACTTGCTTAATATTACTAAGACTTTGCAACTGGCGTGTTTATTCCCATTAAAATAAACAATGACTGTTTTAACGGGTACCGTTCCTCCTCTGTGAAGGGAAACAAGTCCATCCATCGCACTGATAGAAGTGTCTTTCTTTCTTTATAGTCTTGCATGAATCATACTTTTCTATCATATGTCTTATAGAATAATTTTACAATAGAATGACACAATATATATATATATATATATATATAACAAAAACGTTCCAGCATTTAGAAAAATTTGAGAACCACTGTTTTAGTGAATATAAGTTATTTTTTGTTTCAAATTTTATGAAAAGTATTTCAAGATTTAACGTGTATTTAAAGAAGTTTGAAAAAAAGGTTTCATCAAACTATCAGTATGCTGATAACTTGTGTTTTATCCTTCTGCCCATGCTCAGATACTTCGAATGAATATAATATTTTTTGATCTATTAAAAAAATTAAAATAATAATTTTATCTGCACTAAGACTAATGCATTTCTTTCCATCTATATAGAAACTCGTTATTATATTTTTGAAAAAGACTGCTTCAAAGTGCGTTAATTAACGAATATACATTTATAGTAAATTAATTTAAATAATTTATATGCAAATGGCTCAAACTAGTTTAACTTACTCATCCTTTTATGTTTTATTAAAAAATAGTTTATTTTATGCATATCTTAGGAACTCCAAAACGTCATCATTTTTTTATTGACATGGAAAGTAATTAAATTGTTTTCTTTCTTTGTAAATCTCTTCATTCTCTTTACACAGTGGAAAGTAATAATTTTAATCTTCTTACTGAAACTTTGTTCATATCCTGGGATTTAAGAGGTAATTATGTGAAATATTTTATCTTACAGGTTAAAACTCCGTTTATCTTGTCAGATGTCTTTTAAACACTATCCAATGGATATTCAACACTGTCCTATTACACTAGGATCTTGTAAGTACCTAAAATATGTCATCGTTGTGAAATTTAAATAAAACCTAATATGGTTTTTAGTTAACACAGACATCGGCCTAGGTACTGAACATAGAGAGTCAGAGAAACAAAAAGCTGGAATATTGCGATCCTGCAGGATATTTTCATAATTAAAACTGTTTTGACTATTTTACATTTATAATATAGCTTATACAGAACTATGGTAAAAAAACAACATTTTACACACTTAGGTGCTATAGCCTCTCTTCCCTTTTTCAATTAAATGCGACCCCGTGATTACTGAACAGCAATCAATATGACAGTGTCCAGTGGGAAAGACCTCGAGTGAAACCTTTCGAATTGATCGCATACAAGGTTTTGGTTTGAATTTTCGCACAAGCTACACGAGGCCTACCTGTGCTACCCATCCATCATTCAGCAGTGAAAGACTAGAAGGAAGGCAGCTAGTCATCACCACCGCCAACTCTCGGGCTACTCTTTTACCAACGAATAGTGGGATTGATCTTCACATTATATTGCCTCCACGGCTGAAAGGGCGAGCATCTTTGTGGGACGGGGATTCGTACTCGCGACCCTCAGATTGCGAGTCAAGCGCCTTAACCACCTGCTGGGCCCTGCGTACAAGGAAAATAATTGAGGTTATAAGTGTTATCTGTATAACTCAATTCCTTCATGTCACCAATGAGTCAGCTGTCAGTTTCCTAACGTACATTGCTAAAATCTGGAGTTCGATTCCACGCGGTAAACAGAGCACAGATAAACCATTGTATAGCTATGGGCTAAAAAAATCTTTCATTCACTGCGCTTCGAGCTACGAACTGATATTTAATATTTTTCAGAGATATTCTAAAAATATATATTTACAAATATCTAAGGTATGCTATATCTGAGAATTAAAGATTACCAAAAGTGCACAACGAGCTAGCTATATGAAGTTTGCCCACGGCAATGACCTAATCCTGAATCTTACCGTGATAAGCTCTCCAGCTTTCCAATGAGCAACTAGGGGTAATTTTAAATTTCAATTAATTTTGAGAAATTGAGCACCTCTAAAGTGGACTTATCTGTGGTTGTCAAAATTGCTAACGTTTTGAATTGCTAACGTATTCATATTCCTTACCTGTTCTCTCAATCAATTTGAGAAATTGAGCACCTCTAAAGTGGACTTATCTGTGGTTGTCAAAATTGCTAACGTTTTTGTTTCTTCTCTGATTTTCAGCGCAAGGCTACACGATGGGCTATCTGCAGTGTGCCCAGCGCGGTTATCGAACCCCGAATTTTAGCGCCAAAATCCCCAATTTTATCGATGAGCCACTGGAGAGGGTCCAAATTTTCTAGTGAGAAATGTGTCTAGAAGTATGTAAGTTTATAGAAGGACTTGTCTGGTTAATATTGATATAAAATTAGTCGTTGGTGACCTTTTCAAAATGCATAAGTAAATAGGAATGAACTAATTATCATACTCATCCAAAGTACCCAGTAAAAATCTGACTTGTTACAAAATACGTTGACAGCATCAAATTTATTCAGTTAAATTGTGAAAATATTGAGTATTCTGTTTTTTCTTTTTTAATTTAGTTAATTAGTTATTTTAGTACCAGCCAGAGCACAAATTCTCTTCCCTACAATCTTAGAGTTCCAAACAACACGTTTGTCATTAAGCAGTACTGGTAGCGTTGCGATGTCCTTAATTATTAATCATCGACCACAGAGAGGAAGCGGTTGGCATCAACCACTTTTATTGTTATTATTATTATTAGTAGTAGTAGTAGTGCAACAGTAAAAAAAAATTAAATACCAGGTACCCAACGTAAACAAAATTATTTTTTACTGGTATATGCTTGAAGAGTTTTGCACTCACACCCCCCTCCGATTTATCTTCAAGGTTCTTTTAGTAATAATTTCCAAGTCAATTTGATTTGATAGAATCTGTCATTTCCTCTTATTTCTCTGCTCGCTTTACCTTCATTATTCCACTATTCATAATTCCACCCCCCTTTCCTCCAGTCTTCCAGTTGACTAATGTGACCTCTGTTCCACATTTTCCTGTTCTCTCAATCTAAATTCTATTTCATTGATACCCTCTTTGGAGACTTGATCAGGTTGCCTAAGGGCTGCGCCTCATCAGCTAGATGATCCACTTTTTAATTGAATGATATGTATCTGTGCTCTGGAATATATGTCGTTCTCAGATAAACCTTCAAGTCTCTTTTTTGTCCTTTTGTTCTCTTTGCAATCTTGTGATGAGGTTTAGAGAATCTGTCAGGAGCATAATTCTGTCATGACTTGCACTGTTACGGGTCAACCAGACCAGTGTATCCTTGCATGTTTCAAAATTCTGCTATGAACTGAATTAGTCAGGTCGGGCTGCTGACTACTCAAAGACTACGACTCCTGTCTAGGTGGTCATGCCATTCGTGACTAAGCCATCCAATTCTGTGATCAGTGTTGGTCTCTGCTCATATATTCATTTTATGACTTCGTCTATATCGACTATTCCTTACCTTTTCCATCACACCCTACTGTCAATCTGTATTGGACTTAGCTTAATGCTATCTGCCAGGACCCACTCAATACTTTTGCTGTTTTCTAATGGACTTATCTCCTTTACATCTTTCTTTGTCTCATTGACGTATGGCTTGGACGATTTCAGTCTATGTATTACTGTTTTGTCTACCTTCTCTCTCAAATGCTGATATACTGAGTGAGATGTGGTTGCGGCTGCTCAGAGTAGCGCTAGACTGGCTAGAATCCTTTGTGTTGTAGTAATGTTGCTCAAATCAAAACAAAACTGCAAGTCAATACATGTTAGTTGGGCTGCTTCTGTTGCTATTCTAATTATTACATTTTGCTCCCTCTTTAACTTAGTCATCGCTGACTTTGCTGCTGTTGTACATAAGTGTATTCCATATACCACTCTGGCAATGACTGTTGCTTTCAACAGATTGGTGGGGTTCCTTTCCTGAACTTTTAAAGCTGTAGTATATTTGAAAAGGGTAAGGCTCTTCACTGCTTTCTTTTTTAAAAGAACAGTATGTGCAAACCTTGTCTTTTTTTTTTGCTCATCACAACATCCACAAAAGTGACAGGGTTTTTCTGTCTGCATACGTCAGAATGAAAAGAGAAGTATCTGTGTGAGATCTGGTGACTAACATCCAATAAGTTTCATCTGATTAAATTGACATTTTGTTATCTATAATCCATTGGTAGAGGCTTTTTTCTGACTTTTTGCAGACCCTTAACTGTTTCCATTGTTTTCAGCATTTGTATCGCCAATGAATGAATATGTTGTCACATTCGATATCTTCCAGTGTGCTGAGCAGATCAACTGTGTATACGTGGAAGAGGACAGGCCTCGGCAGGGATCACTGTGGCAACCCAAAACTGATTTTAAAAATTCCTGATCTCCATTTACCGAATTTTAACTGACAGTACCTGGTGTCTGTCCACCGTAGCCAATATTAACTGTACGAGAATTTCAGACTCCCAGAGCCTTTAACTTTATTGTCAAAACCCAGTATTCACTTAATTGTAGGCATATTCAAGATCAAATAGCCCAGTAGTGTGGTGTGTAATGTCTGCATACGCTGCTGGATGTTGAGTGTAACTGCCTTGACACTCAAGGTTATGGATCTATTCGGTCTTGACCCTCCCACTTTGTTTGGCAAACAATCTCTCTCTCTCCTCCAGGTGCTGTACAATTCGTTTGCTGTGAGGTTTTCACTGAGCTTTACCCATACATTTGACATTACTATTAGTCTATATCTATTAACTGTGCAATGATCTTGGAAGAATCTCGGAAATACTTCTCTGTTTTCCAATCTGTCAGTGGTAAATTGAATATTTCAGTTAGCTCTGCTTTCTCTTCAGTAGAGAGAGTTTGATTTTGGAGTACCTTACACCTTCTAAGCTTGGTGCAGAATTCCGTCCAATTGATCTACTGTCACTGCCATTTCCAACCGTAGATTAGCACCCTGTTGAATTCCATCTTTCATTTCCTACCACGCCCATCTTACAGAGACCTACCCATTTTCTTGTGGTTGGCTCATATACCTCTTCAAAATGGTATTACCCTTTTCTTCAACTGTTCTAAGACATCCACCATTCGGCAATCATAACTCTCACAGCCTACCACACCCACCCACATTAATATTTTCATAATTTTGTATGGTTTCCAAAACTGGTTTGGTGTGCTGAGTTTTGCTAGACCATATTTCTGAGAGAAATATTCCTTGTGTACTTCTGTCTGTTTTGTTGTTGTTGTTTTTTTTTGTTTTTGTTTTTTTGCTGGAATTCTTAGGTAGCTTTTTTTCTAGCTTTTTTGTTCAATCTTAACAAAACCAAAGAATTCAGAATGCCCGGACTATGAAAGTTGGCAGTGAATGCTTGACTTCCTTCCAGTTTAACAGTTCAAAATTTGGTACGACTAGCACAGATAGCCTTTGTGTATTTTTTTTGCGAAAATTCTAAAACAGACAAACTCACTGAGAAGTTCTAATTATATATTTTGTGCCTAATATAAATTTTGATTAGCAATTTAAAATTTCTTTTAGAACAGTGTGGTTTATAGTACCTTCATTGTGCTACCTAAAATCCATATATTTCCCCCCGATTTTCTGCTTGGAATTAAGCCTAACTCGGCTTTCTACTACAGCTTTCTCTCTGAAACTTTTGACAAATCCTTAATCGAAAAGTCAATCACCCCAGTTCATCAAGGTTTGTTAAACCACTAGTAAGCTTAACGCAAGAAACACAGAAAAAATAATTGTATAAATAAACAGCCATTAGTTAGCTTAACTCGAGAAACAAACAACTATAGTATAAATAAATAGTCATTAGTAAGCTTAACTTGAGAAACACAGAAGAAATAATAGTATAAATAAGCAGTCATTAGTAGGCTTAACTTGAGAGGCACAGAAAAGTGTGAATAAGCAGAACTCATCTCATCCAGGACAAAGAGAATATTCTTGAATTTAGATTTTTAAAGAGAGTAGTACTAAGTCTAAATTGGTTGTAATAAGATGCGGACAAAGAACATCCTTTCTCTTGCGTGGATAACAAGACGAGGACCACAACAAGGGCCATGAGAGTCGGCCAACGAGTGATGCCCGAAGGAAGCCTCACCTTCAAAGAAATACAGTCCCACGTTCTTTCTGATAATGATCAAAGTTTAAGTATACAAAGATTAAGAATAATCATTAAAAAAACAATGAACATGAAGAATAATATGAAATAAAAAGTATAGGTTTCCAGACATGTAAAGATCGCCTTGAGATCGACATTTTGATTTTATGATTCCGATAAATACGATCTAAATGTGATAATAAAAATTGTTATTTGGTTATATCCGTATTCTTCAAGATAACCAAGCTCTTTTTTCTAAGTGTTTGGTTTTCCAAATGATATAAAAAAATCCAAATTCAAGAACATGCTATCTGACCTGGATAAAACGAGTTCTGCGTATTTACAGAATTATATTTCTTTATGTTTTCAAACTTAACCTACTGATGGTTTGACAAACCACAATGAAAAACAAAGAAATATCATTTTGGACAAGGAAAAATGTATCAAAATTATCCTTCAACTTTAGTCAGAAAATATAAATAGATCAGTCGAATCAGTGAATGGATCTGTGTATTATTCTTGGTTATTTAGAATGTAGAAATTTGGCAAATACTACAGAGTTGACAAACAGAACAACTAAAAAATCTGCATTTAGAGATCAAGCCAAATACTGCATCCAAATGGAGATGTGCTGCAAACAGCATAATTTCTTCTAGATCCCAGAAATTGCTGAATTTTCCATGTAAAAAGAGAATATTCCCGCCAACTCACTTTTTTTATATATACGAATGCGCTTCTAGATAGATATTCTCTAAATTTTAAAGGCTCATATTCTTTCGACTTAAGATGACACAAAATAAACCGTTATTTGAATACAGCATGCAGCTATAACTACTTGTTTTTGATATTTAGTATTTTTGTATCTAAGGCAAAGCTAATAAGGTTCTCTGCTGCCGCCCCTAATTTCAAACTACTGACCAGAGGGAAGGCAACCAGTCAGCAACAACCTATTACCACCATCCAAACTATCACGTGTATAATGCGCCCACAGATTAAAGTGCGGGTAATATTTTGTTATATCGCACGGATTCGAATCCAGCTCGCCTGCTTCGAAATCTTGAGCTCTACCTCAGGGCCAACCAGCGCCCTCTTGGCACTTCCATCAGAGAATACAATGAAGAGTAAAATGTCTTTGGTTTTCAAATCTCCCAGCCACAATTAAAAAAAAATATTTTAAGCCCACCTCACGTAGGCTTTCTAGACATTGGTCAAGAGTAACAAAGAAAACAAATCAGAATATACGATTCTTACCAATACAGAGCTTCAACAAATTAACTCAAACACATTGTTATAAGTGGCCGCGCATTACGAACTAAACTAATTCCATAAAAAAATTAATTACAAACATCTTCTTTATAGTAACCTCAAGAAAAAAATAAAAGTTAAAAGATCAAATAAATAAATCCGTTGAAAAGAAAAGCTACTCTTAAAACGCTTCAGAAGTAAAGAACTTTCCAAACGGGAAGTTCCATCTAACAACAAAGAAACAGGTGATAAATTACTTGTGTTTCAGCAACTCTTTTTAGCAGTCCATTCTGAAAGAATTGATGATCAAAAGAACATTACTATCCTGCAAGAAAGTATTATTTTGCTGGCAGGGTTGAATAGTTTTTCGTTAGTAAGGAATGCATAGTTTATTAAGTATGTGATACGACAGTTTTTGACGTAGAGTAACGTTTCTTAAAGTGAAGGTCTCGACCCAAAAGAGGTTCGAAAAGGTATTGTAGGAGATTAGAGGATGGCAAGATCCTAAAAAAAATATTGCGATAACGGATATTTTAGAGTGGGTGCAATAATTTGATATTACTTTGTGTGGGGGGGGGGGTCGTCACACCCTGGAATATTTTCAAGGGGGTAGAAAAACGTTTGAGAACCTCTGACGTAGAGAATAAAAATACTGTAATCTGAACAAGCCCAGAAAACAGCAAACAACTTAAGTAGAAATATCTTATCATTGGTTAATAACAAAAACTGAGGCTTCAGTTTCAAATTATCGACATATATATGGGTTAATTCTATAACAGTTAGTGGAATTGAAGTTTTCACATCATAAACGATATGTATATTATAACCGGTTGATGTGCAATATACTCTTGTTGTTTTTTTGTGGTAATTTTTACCGAATTCGTAAAATGCGATCAAAATAATATATTCATAATGTAAAAAACTTGTTTTATTAATATTAGTTTAGGAATTTTCTCAAGAGCGTATTTCGCTAAACAATATTACCCCCCCCCCGTAAAAAAAAGGTTACGTAATGAGACTGTTTTAGTTGACTTAGTAAGCTCAGCTTTCGAGCTATGCTTGGTTTAGATTGAGAAACTGGAGAAGAATGATTTCTATTTATATAACCATTTTATTTCTTAATTTGATAGCTGTTACAGTGAATTTGGAATTACATTTGATTCTTCAACATGTGTTCTAACATATTTAAAGATTCACAGAATTCAGACACGCTTCTTTTATCCTGGTCGAAGTCTCCAGTGTTTCTGAATCCGGAGCTCATGATTCCAGAATTTGATCTAACAAGCATCTCGACGTCTCAACCATACATTGAGTTCTATGAAGATTTTGGTAAGCATAAGAAACCAGAAGATAAGTTTGAGTTAGTTTTGCCTTACAGAAAATTACCTGACAAATTTATCTGATAAGAAATTTCCAAAGAAAATTAAGCTTTTAAGAAGGGACTGAGTTGGTTGATTTCAAACATAAAATTAATACACAAAGTTACAAGGTGTTCAACGCATTTACTCGTTATGAATGTCAAGTGTGATAAGTTTCGCAATACAAAAATTTATTTATATGCGAGGTTTGATATGAAAGTCCCCCAGTAGGCCAGAAGTGAGTTTACGGACGTACAACGCTAAAATCTAGGGTTTCATTCCCTGTGGTGCACAGAGTACATGCAGATAGCCCATTATGTTGATTAGTGCTAAAACAGGCAAAGTTATATCTAGTTCAGTAGACAAAGGTATTTGCCTTGAAAGGTTTATTACAATTATTTGAGACATTTCTTACATAAATATGAATGATTAGCACTCGTGTAATTTAAAAATCAATTATCGGATATTTTTAAGAGTCGTACTGTGTGGTAAGGTTGAGCCACAAAAACCTAGAATTATAGTTTCAACCCATAAAACTGTGTCATCGCGTTACCTGGACATGTTCTGATATAGCTGAATTTTTATTCTATTATTTCTTACGTAACCTTTATTTTAAGTTCCTTTTTAAACAGAGATGAGGATTCATCTAGTCGTTATATCAGTATATGGTACCGTAAAGGTTAACCAGCAAGTTAGTAAATAACACAGAACATAATAACACATGACTTGTAACAAGCGTATAAATATTGAAACCTTAGAAATTAGTTTTATCAGTTACTCCTAAAGATGGCGTTGAAACATATGGGTCATTGAAGGCTTCAATAAATATATTTTAATTATTTACAATAAAACATTTTTATTTTAATTATTTATTTGATATTTCTTACGTGTTATTGAGGAGAAAACAATAAAAATGGAATATCATCATACTTTTGGCAATACAGTAGGGTTATGTAGTTGAGATACGCCATAGAGTAGAACGGATTGATCATGTAGCCTTCGTCTTGAATAGGCTGTATAGTACACCGTACTAGCCTTGTAGCATATGTTTATTAGCTATGTCAGAGTAAAACGATTACCTAGCGATCGTCTCAAGTAGGCCATAAAATACGACGTATTAAGCATCTGCAGGTTATGAATCTTAAGTATGCTATAACTTGGAACTCACTGATTTACACTCTTATTGGGCATGTAACTTGTGTATAGAAATAAACCAAGGAGTAGACGTCATAGGAAACCAGCGGCGGGCTTTTATTATGCAGGTCTTTAGGAAATTGGCATCTTTATTAAATTCAATAGAAACATTTGCAAAGTTTCTATCGTATGAGCTTCCTATTGTAGCTTAGTGGTACTATAAGATTAAGTTTGTCCAAATAATCTCTTATCTATAGCAAATTCCTTGGTTTCTTTTATTTTAGAATTATTAAAGTAGCGTTAGTTAACATATATACGTAAACATACTGTATTTGAAATCTTAATCTCTAAATCATTATTTGACAAACATCTGTGTGTGTGTTTATCCGTCTTTAACTGGCTGATTGTCACCAAATCTGACATGTATGCTTAGAGCCCCCTAGAGACTAACAGGTCGACATTCAGATATGATCTCCTATATCACACCCTGAGGGCTCCTATGTCTTTCTCGTGCGTTGATCGGGTACGTCAGCTAATATAAAATTATTCATCAAATGGAACACATATGATAGAATTTGAAATGTTGAAACTTCACTTTAAGCCCCCCAGTGGCACAGCGGTATGTCTGTGGACTTACAACGCTAGAATCCGGGTTTCGATACCCGTGGTGGGCAGAGCACAGATAGCCCTATTGTGTAGCTTTGTGCTTAATTACAAACAACAACAATAACAATTACAAACAACAACTTCACTTTAAATTCTATTATACGTGGCTCCATCTAATGAAAACATATGGAAATAGTTTAGCTAAATTGTTCAACACCGCAAAATATAATGTTACAAATGGTAAGTGAAGGATTCAACCCTCGAAATGATACATTATTTTCCTATGTTTCATTGAAAAAAATTAAGGTTGTTTAAATGACTTTCAAGTTCTTAATATAAATGTTCTGTGAAATACTGCATTGTATTTGATGAGCTGATACGAAACAATTTTTTTGAACGTACTTTGTGCAAACAAACAAGCATTCAAATTCAAAAACCAACATCAAATCTATACGAAAACATTCAAGTTTCATAGTGAAAAATCAGCATGAAAACACCTGTTTTGGTGTGAATAAAAGTGCATTGATTTTACCATTTTTGGTCGGGAAAATGTTTGAACGAGCACACCAAAATTACAAGTCAAATTATACCAACCTCTTTAAAAGAAAATTGACAGAAATATTATAAATTCAGCTTTTCATAAGCAGCTGTGTGTGTGTTAAACTGATTCTCTTAGCGAAGAAGAGTCCCCCCTCTCTCTCTAGTAACAAAGATAAATTGTTTGTTTGTTTCAAGTTAAGCACAAAGCTACACAATGGGCTGTCTGTGCTCTGCCCACCATGGGTATCGAAACCCGGTTTCTAGCGTTGTAATTCCGCAGACATACCGCTGTGCCTCGTGGGGGGGGGGGTAGAAAGATAAATAAGTTAAGTATAATATATGCATGTTAAGACCAACTTGGTAACCTTGAAAATAAATATATCAAATGTAAAGTAGGCATGTAAAGACTAACATGTTGAAAATAAATAAATAACTGGGTGCACTTATTAGTTATCACATTAATTTTTACTTGCTAGTCATCCTGTATGATTTTCCTTTGTTTTATCAAAAAAGGATCAGACTCTTAAAAATAAGAAGTTATATAATTATTATTTTCCGTAAAAACACGACTTCACACGTGCTGTAAATCTGCGAATGCATAAATCACGAAATTTCTTCAAAATTAATTCGATGTTTTAAGATAATTTTGTATTTTATCTTGATAGCTTCCCTTGTTAGCTTGAAGATATTACGTTTACGTTCAAATTGTTTGTTTCCTTTTAAAAAAAAGGTAATCAAGTTAAAGTTTTCTCGTGTTAAATATCACAATCAAATTATTTCATTAAGGACAAAAACACGTATACTTGAGTCAAAAATATGCTTTGCGAAACCAGTGCATCTATTACTTACTTAACTCGCAAGCTGACTAACAAACTTACGTGAAAAAAATGTAAAAAGCTCCAAACATATCCAAATCCTTATCATAGCAACGTTACGATTCTCTTCAGTCAAGAAAGGAAATATATTTCCCAACAGTACAGTAATAAACAGGAATATAAATAAAGTCTTACAGAAAAGATTAAAATCTTAACGTATTAGAGACTTTAATCACCAGAAATGTTTATTTCTACGAGGAAAAATTCAGTCTTATTTAGAAAAAAAGAAAACCATAAAACGCCCCTTAAAACAAGGAATCCATAATTACATGAATGTCTTTACTTGTTATTCGTCTGACAGTTTTACTCGACTCTATGATAAAACGTTTTTACCGCTTGCAGATTAAAAAGTTCCCAACCGCTTTAAACATAAATATTTTTAACAATCGCCTGAACCCTTACCTAATTTTACTTCTAGCCAGTAGAACCAGGATATAGACAGGCTGCGATCTGGAAAAAACGAAATGAGTCTCAAAAGTAGCAATTTTATAATCAGAAAAATATTAAACAAAATAGAAGACTAAAAAATGTACAATAGTCGGAATTATCTGTGAGTCGTACTTGTTAGTTGTGAAATAATTATATTCGCCGATAAGAAATAAATTTAACA